CGATACTGTTAAAGTAAATAAAAAAAGTTTTGATTTATTATTATTATTATTTTCATTTTTTTATAAAAAAAGTTTATAATAAATATTTTATATTAGGAATTAGTTGGATTCGTACAAAAACGAGATCCAAGATATAAAGCTTATAAAATGGCAGCTGAACAAAGAGATAAAGCTCAAATTGCTGAAGCAAAAAGACGAGCAGCTCGTGATCGTGCAAAACATCTTTCTGAATTACAAGAATATCAAGAACAAGATTGGACAAAAGTTGTAAATGATTTTGAAGAAGAGATTGATAATTCTGATGATGATGAACCAGAAGATGAATTTTTTTGTGTTGCATGTAATAAAAATTTTAAAAATGAGAATCAATGGGTAAATCATGAGAAAAGTAAAAAACATATAAAAAATGTAGAATTATTGAAGGAAGAAATGTTTGAAGATGAGGATTTTATAATTTTGGATGACCAAAATAATAATGATGCAAATAATAATAAAATAGACGAATTGGTTAATGAAAATTTAAAGGACATTGAAGATATCTCATTTACAAAAGGTTCTAAAAAGAAAAAAAAACTAAAGAAAAAACAACAGACTTCAAATTGGGGATATGAGAAGACGGAAGAAATCTCTGAAGACATTATAAATGAAAGTGTTCAAGATAATGATAAAATAAAATCTGATTCATTTAATGGTGATGATGAATTATCTGAACTATTAAACAAAACAAAGATTTCTTCTAGAGGTGGTTTTGAATCTGAAGAGGAATCTAGTAAAACTCTGTCCTTAAATGATGATGATAATAAATCAATTCAACAGGAGAACGGTACTAAAAAAGAGAAAAAAAAGGATAAAAAAAAGGAAAAGTCTAAAGATTTTAAACAGGTAATGTAACATTCAACCCACCAAAAACCGATCCTGTCAATCCAAAGTGATAACTGATGCTTAAAAAATTGGACTTCATGTTACATGAAGTTATAAACTAGCTAATTTTTAATTACGTGAATATAAGTGTGAATCGGTTTTGGGAGGGTAGATTGTTTGATATTTTATTACTTTATAAAATTTATTATACGTATTAATCATATGTAAATTATAATTTATTGTAGAAGTGTAATGTCTGTTCACAGACTTTTACATCAAGAAATCAGTTATTTAACCACATTAATGAAACCGGACATGCATTAAATGTTGGTGGTTCTGGTAGTGGAAAAAAAGGGAGAAAATGATGTTTTTTTTAATAGATAATATTGGTAATTTATTTATTTTAAACCACTTATTGTCTTGTTCGACGCATTACTATTCTGCTTTATTATTATAGATTAGACTTTTTTCAATAATTCGTAAATAGTACTCTAATAATAAATACCACATCAAATCGTATTCGTAATAACTTTTCTAAGTATCGACTATATCTCGTAATTCGCTTTTGCATCGTAAAGTATTATTAAGAGGCGGATGCTCTGATTAAATTCTCGACTGTTTCTTTGACACAAGATCTTTATTCTTATCTGGTAGTTAATGGATAATTTATACTATGACAACTGAGTAACATTTACATTAAAAATAGTAAAATTTCAACAAGTTAACTGAGTAAATAATAGATTTTACTCACTAGATTTATAATGAGATGCATAAATTGTTTTTTG